GAAAAATTAGAATTCATTGTAGAAAAATGAATTGTTCTTAAGAGTAATAAGATTACAGCTAAAGAAACACTGAGTAAACTAAAAAAAAAAAAAATACATTCTCGAATATTTTCTCAGAGGAGTCATTTTTCAAACGTTACCGCGAAAATTTCACATGCAGAGGTCATGATTGCTAGGAAAGTTAGATTCATTTTTGACAAATTACTGTCAGGGAATAAAAAGAAAAGTCGACAATTTGAAACTACCAGTTCATTTAAGAGTGTTGATAAAGCATTCTTTAAAAGCTTTAAGGTCGGAAAGAAAAATTGGCAGAAAGGAAAAATTATTCGACGTCTTGGTAATATGATGTACATTGAACGATTTCAACATAGAAGACTTTTAAATCAATTGCGGTCTAGGTATGTACAGAATAAGCAACACGTATAATCCCTAAATCTAATATTACAATACAACGCCAGGTTTCGTGAAAACGTAATCCGACTGAAACATTAGAAGTGGACCCATGTCGAAAAAGTATCGATTAAGAAAGTCCATATCTAAAAAGGGGGTTGTGGCAGAGATGAACACACCTCTTCAGACTATAAGTTGAACTCGTCCAAACAGCATATATACTGACGCCGAGAATCGTCAAGAGAGTGCTAACCGGAGGCGAGCCTTATATCCTTACTACAGAATTCAGTAAGTCTACGTCGACTCCAAGCGATATTTCAAGACTGTGTTATCTTCATTCAATGGAATGAAAATATAGCATTTATCTTGAAACCTTTTCCTATATCGGTTGCTTAATATAAAATCTATTGTAAAAATATTATAAAACCAGCCATAATGAATGCTACTTATAGATATATAATAATAGCTAGCTGGACACTTCAACGTGATGTAATGGTTAACAAGCTTGTCTCGCTAGGTTAATTACAACTACGTGCTACATACTTTCCGTCTTGTGCCACATCTGAGTTACACTTATTAAATCAATATTTGTATTGCTATATCTATTACGACTGAATTGTGAGTTCGATCCTCACAGGGTGCTACATAATTTTGGCCTTTTACCAAAATCTAAGCTAACCTTAGAAAATCATTTGGGGCATCACGACGTGGTGTAATTGTTAATACGTTTTTCCTCGCTAAATCCAATACTACTGAGTAGTGAGTTCGATCCTAACTGGGTGCTCCATAGTTTCGGCCTTGTGCCACACCTAAGTTAGCCCTGGAATATTCCTATATGTACTTCGATGTGGCATAATGGTTAGCAAGCTTGTCTCGCTAGATTAGTTGCGACTGACTAGTGAGTGGGATCCTCACTGGGTGCTCCATACATTCGGTCTTGTGCCACATCTAAGTTACGCTATTTACATTGTTCGGACTGTTGCCCTCATCTTCATTAGCATATTCCAGACGTTTCAGCCGTTGTACGCTCCGGCCTTCTTCAACAACGAATATGAGGACAGCAGTCCGAACAATCTAAATAGTATAAATAATTACAATACCTCATCTCAGATATATAGACATCTAAACTACGTTTACTAAATCGCTATAATGATCGCTAACTGCTTGATAGGTATATATACGTCATGTAGAACAGCAGGTGATGCGTATTGCAGTTGCTGCTCAGGTAAGTGTTTTTTTTTTCAACGCAAACTGAGCCAAATTTTGATTAAGTTACAGTTTCTAGGAGAGACCACTCAAATTGACGTTATCTGTAGTTGAATATGGCCCATACCTTCAACCCCTCAGTCATGATGACTTGTGTCTTCGTTCTAACACTACCGTCAATGCCCTCTGAACAGTTTCATCTTCATCCAATTTCACTCACAAGGACAAAGCTTTGGTACATTTTCCAGTCATTTCCCACCTGTGCCACACACTGGGAACCTCCCGTCAGATTGTCAACATCTTGACAAATCGTTCAGGTTCATTCACTTTCCCACCGCCAGAATGTTGCCTCTCTCTGTCTTTTCTATAAATACTTTCATGGTAATTGCTCGGATGAGCACTTTGCTATGCTAGCTAGACTTTTTGAATTTAATCGCAGTATTAGACTGGTGTCGAAATCTCAATTTACAGTTAAGTTGGTTAGATGTAGCCGTAAGTCTGACATTAGTTGTTTCTTTTTCTCGCACATCTTGCTTGTGGAACATCTTCCCGGCTCAATGCTTTCCAGCTAAATTTAATCTGCAGAAATTTAGATCCAGTATCAATCTCTATCTAATAGCCGCCTGATTACTCTCTTCTCTAACTGCTTGTTAATGTCTCTGTTCCTAATTATTCGACACCCTGTAACCCCTTGCGTATGAGTGGCTTTAAGGCCTTGTCTGGGGTGATAACGATTTAAAACTTGTGACGCCGCCCCTGGGAAAAAGGGATTGCATTGTGGGAAATAAATACTCCCAGCAAGAGAGCGCAAACGGTTTTGAACACTGTCAAAGCTGGAAGGTGAGGATTGAGCTGCTGTAGCTTAGATATGGCAACAGTACTCCATTTTTTACAAAGAAAAGAATACTGAGCTGTTACGTGATATCTGTCCTTCTTTACGGCAGGGAATGTTGGACGATTTTCTCAAAGATGGAGAAGAGACTCGAGGCGACGAAGATGCGCTTCTACAGAAGGATGTTAAGTATACCATGAACCGAGAGTGTGAGCAACGATGAGGTTTTGGAGAGGATGCAAACAAGAAAGGGGCTTATAATAAATATCAAGAAGAGGCAGCTGACACATAATGTACCAAACTTACAGCAACCGCCGTCTGTCGAACTCTCTGCATTAGCAGGGAGGAACCCGGACGAAGCTTTGCCGAAGTGCAAGGTTTCGTTCGGGGAGGTTGACAGGGCCTGGATCTGTCAAGGCGGGTTCAAAAAGGCTATATTTTTGGCCGGGCCTACGGGCTCGGATTACCCACATTAAACTCGGCCTTGTGCCACATGCTACCCCACGTGGGGGGACAGCTAAATATAGCTGACACATAATGAGGAAGGAGAGCCTGGAGAATCTGATACTCACAGGTCGAATAGAGCGAAAGAGAGACAAGAAAAAACAACGCATGACATACCTAGCGGGCTTAAGCAAGTGGTTGACAGAGCGTGGTCTAGGAAAGGTAGGAGAGGGAAGGAACTTGTTGAGAGCTAGATGGTTTAGGAGGAGGTGGAGAGCTATGATCGTCTACGTCCTGAAACATTCCGAATCGGATCCGAACCCACAATCCTGAGATTTTGGTTTCACAACTTTTCATTACTTCGATTTTTTCAGTGTCCGCCATCTTGGCTTCTACTAATAACACTTAAAGGGACACAACTCTCTAACTTTCAATAGCTCATATTCAAATAAAAACGTACTCTTCTCAAATTGCACTATTTTAAAAATAAAATTCTCCATCTTTTCAACTTTACTCCTGACACGCCGTAGCCCAACATATCATATCCTTTTATAATCAGGTCGACTCTGTGGACAAATTAAAAACATTCTGGCCGGCTCCAGACCTGCAATCCTGAAATTTTGAATTCCCAACTGTTCATTACTGCGATTTTTTACTTGATTTCTCGCGACGATTTTTTTTTACGATAACAATTTATAATTTGCAAACAATTTGCGAATAATCGAAATTAATTGCGAAATCCAGTGAAAGTCACCCATATAGTTGTTTGTACGGAAAGTAAGGACCTACGTACATCAAATTGTCTTTAAATTAAGTGGCGGCAGAAGAATAATCGTTGAACTTTTAAAAGGTAATCTTAAATATTAATGCAATACTTAAATACAGTGATCAGTTTTGAGTTCTTTTGTAGTTTATTGTTGCCTATTGCATCTCCTCCTCCCTACTAATTGTGATGAAGGCCCAATGAAGAGCACTTTGCAGGAGCTAGTTTAAATCACGCCCGGTATGGCGGCTTTTAGGATATTCAAAATATGGAGCCTCGCAGTGTGTAGAACCGTTCATAGAGACTGGTTAATATCTGGGTCTGAAGATGGTTACGCCAGTTATTTAAGTGGGATTCTCTTTTCTTATTTTTTTAGAATTTAGCATCCGAGATAGATCTAACTCAGATTCGAACACTGATCTCTGGCATCAGAGTGAAAATCTATATTTATTCCAGGTGTAAGGCAGTAATTTGCAATTAAGCACAATACAAATAAGAATTTTAATGGATTACTTTTGGAGAGTGATTGTCGCCTGCTTTCAGTCATTTCTCTCCTCGGCCATTAAAAGAAATATATTGATTATTCTGTTAACTCAAGGTGTGTAGTTTATGTCTAAAACTTTTTCTTGTCGTTTTACGAGCCTCGGTATAACCATGGCTTCATTCCCAAATGTGAAGAGACGAAATTTTTTCTCTCCTTGAAAAAAAGAAAAAAAGTGCCTTTAATTTATTTATTTATTTATTTTTAAATAGATTGGATCCCTGGAGTTTAAAACGTTTCTTTTTTTTTTCTTTTTCAAAGAAAAGAAAGTGTTTTTCATAATAAAGAAATGTTTTTCTCCTCAGCTTTCCAGCATTGTTGTCTATAGCGTCTGCAATTTAACCACCCCCACACTCCAATATTTTTTTTTTCTTGATTTTATTTGTATACTTAAAAAAACTAATTGTAGGACATTTTATGGCCTTGGGATGACGTTTTATCACATATTGATGGAGTCTTATTTTGTTTCTATGTATTTCATTTTAGATTCTTTTTTTCATTTACCGGAAAACTGACTCGTTCATCATCACAGCCTGTCCAAATACTAATGTTAAGAGGGAAAAAATCCCAAAGAGTCCAACCCAAGCTCTGTCATTGTTAAAAAATGGTGAAACTCTTATTGAAATTGTTTCTTTTTTTTTCCGTTTTAATATTTTCCATTTTGACTTCATCTTGTTTATTTTGTTTTCAGTTTTTCCTGTTTTAATTCTTTCTTTTTCTTTCATTTTTTGTAACATCTTTCAATTTTTATTCACAATTTAATTCTTACTTATTTTGTTGTTGTTGTTGTTGTTGCTAATATTCCTACGGCCTCTGTGTCTTAAATGGTCCATTTCTATATTCGAATACGTCACTTGCATGAGACGCCATTATTCTTAATATTTGTCACTTTCTTTCTTTCTTTTTTTATTTCTTTCATCCACCTACCCATACTTTCTTTTTCTTTCTTTCTTTTTCTTTTTTCTTTCATCCATCCTTTCTTTCTTTCTTTCTTTCTTTCATCCATCTACACATCCTTCCTTTTTCTATCTTTCTTTCTTTTACACATCCTTCCTTTTTTTCTTTTTCTTTCTTTCTTTCTTTCTTTCTTTCTTTCTTTCTTTCTTTCTTTCTTTCTTTCTTTCTACCAATCCTTCTCTTTTCTTTCTTTCTTTCTTTCTTTCTTTCTTTCTTTCTTTCTTTCTTTCTTTCTTTCTTCCATCCATCCATCCATCCATCCATCCATCCATCCATCCATCCATCCATCCATTCTTTCTTTCTTTCTTTCTTTCTTTCTTTCTTTCTTTCTTTCTTTTACCCATTCTTCCTTTTTTTCCTCTTCTTTCTTTCTTTTTTCGTTCTTTCTTTCTTTCTTTCTTTCTTTCTTTCTTTCTTTCTTTCTCCCTTCCCCCTTTCCTTCTCCCTCCCTCCCTTTCTTCCTCTCTTCCTTCCTATCTTCCTTCCCTTTCTCCTTCCTTTATTCCTTTCTTCCTCTCTTCCTTCCTTCCTTCCTTCCTTCCTTCTTCCTTCCTTCCTTCCTTCCTTTTATCTTATTGTCTTTTTTCTTTAATGACTTTTCTTTTTTTACGTTTCCTCGTTTTTTTTAAAAAAAACATTTGCTTAAAGCCGAAGCACATTTCTGGATTGTAAGAAGAAATTTTTTCTTTTGACGAGTGATTGTTGTATTAAACATATTTTGGAGATAATACTAGATTTCAGACACAAATTTTACTATTTAATTCATGGATAGGGGGAAATGGTTAATTTATTCCTTTCCCAATTGTATTTGCGTGTAAGTGAATGTAACGAATCCGACTGCAATTCGAACTTGGCTCTCCGACATCACTTTCCAAGACATTATCCATTACATCACACACACACATCTAAGCTTGTAGCACCTGGTATTCCAATGCGGTTACCTATCTAGTAGCTGACCAGACTCGACGTTGCTTAACTTCGGGGATCATATGGGAATCTGGTGTTTCAACGTGATCTGGCCCTAAGCCCGTCTATTATTAAGGGAGGATTCCTTCCTAACTTTTCGTTTAAAGTAAAACATCTTGATTTTGTCATTATTTTCTCAGCGAGTCACATGTGCTAACCATTTTAGTTGATGCTGCTGTTGAAAGTCCTCAAGTCATGTTGTTTTTCTTTTTTATATAAATCTGTAACTGGAGTTCACAAAGTTCAAACAAAGAGTGTCTTTGCTAAGACGTCCACTCGCTCGAATTCATTTTCGCTATTCATATGAGAAAGCTATTTTATACAACTGACACTTTAGATATTTCCGCAAAGGTTTGACGATATGAGTTGTATCCATGGGAAATTTCCGATCTGGTGAGGCTATTTATAAAATGAATCGAGGTATTATGTTAACGCTTTCATATCAATTTGCACTGTTAGGTGAAACCACCCCGTGTGCAGCGGATTCTATATTCAGTTTCCTCATCTCATATTTTACGAGGGTGTGACTGATAACTTCATCAGCTTATTATAAAAGAGTGATGCTAGAACCGTGAAATCTCGTATGCATTAATTTCAAATCTTAGTAATAAGTGCATCCTTCGTTTCCAGAGTGACAAAATTTGGTATTGTAGGATTATCACATACCTGCAGAAAAAAAGGGTTGAGACCCCAAAGACATTCATGCTGACAAGGTTCCTAAATTATGGAATGACGCTCCAGCCTTATCGTCAGTGCAAAAGTGGGCAGCTGAATTTACTAGTGGAAGCTAGAATCTTGAAGATAGACGTCCTGTAACTACTGTCACTGAGTAAAACATTGATCGTGTTCACCACAAAATGATGGATGACAGATGACTGAATATAAATCAAAAAGCCAAAGCAAAAGAAGGAAAAAATAGACGCTTAAACTTAATACAGATTTAAAATCGGTCCAAATTATTGGAACACACTTTATAATGGAATACTTCTCTATCGCTGCTACCATAGAAAGTGCTCGGAAGAACTACATCTTCCGGTTCCACCAGATATAACCTTCATGGATAAGACTCGCTAGGCCACTAACCCTCATTCACTCCGTATTCGGTCGGCGAGAAGTAATCCCACGCAAACAAATTCCCACGAACCACTGCCCTATGGAACAGAGGATGTTACCCAATCCCTGCAATCTTAACCTGTTATAGTCTAGCGTCAGCCATTATCTTCCCATTTTATCAAAATAAGCTATCCCTTAAAATAACTATCTACCTCGAGCGCTCCCTGGGTCTTGTACAGGGTGAACTTTATCTATCTATCTATCTATCTATCTATCTATCTATCTATCTATCTCTTCGTAAATATATATATATATATATATATATATATATATATATATATATATATATATATAAATAAAAAAAAAGAGCAGTAAGATATATAATCCAGTGTTCTTATAGATATTTTTATTTTTACAAAATAGTGCTCAATGTAAATTTATAGCTGTGTCTTTAAAACCTAGTAATTTTAAAAGTTACTCCAAAATTCGCTTGAGGATGAAATGGAACTAATGTCTTTAATTTAATTACAAAATTAAATTCGGGGCATTTAGCTTCCATTTTTGAAACATGGTTAGAACTGTGTAGCGAAAAAAACATATTTTAAATCAATTAATTTATAATATATATATATATATATATATATATATATATATATATATATATGAAGAAATATAGTCTTAAGTTGTGCTATATTTATGGGATAAAGTGCTCAATATCAGAGACTGAGCGTGTGTAAATATAAAATTTAAAATATAAAATTCTATTATGTCCGATTGAATATATATATATATATATATATATATATATATATATATATATATATATATATATATATAAAAATATATGTAAAACTAGGTTGCCAGTTCTTTTGGCAGTAGACGGATTGCCAACTGTGACAATGTTCTCCGCTCGTCCGTCACTGCACAACCTGATGGCATCCAAGGTCGGTTGTACGCGCATACATCCGGCTAGCAAAACATTTCACCTTAAACAAGGCTGAAGTGGCACTAAGACAAAGTGGGTTACAGAGAGTGAAGATGAGGGGAAAATACTGTGTATAGAGGAGAATGAGGAAAGGTTAAAAGAAGAACGGGAATCAAGGCAACAGACGTTGCATTTCAATTTTTTGAAGATTGTAGTTATCAAAGAAGCAAGTAAGATGAAGGGAGTTCCACTGTCGGGAAGCGTGAGAGAAGAAGCTGCTGGAGTAGAAACGGCGGTTGCATTTAACTATTTCAACAGTAAAAGGATGGGACCTAAAAGCCAATCTAGTAGCACACTTAAATTCATATAGTTGGGAAATCAGGGAAGATAGTTCATCAGAACAATTGCTATGAAAATATTTGTAGAAAAGGCAAAGGGAAGCCACATCACGTCTATGAGAAAGTGACTGAAGTCGAGATGTTAAATCGGGATCGATTACATTGCAGATGCAAAGGTTGGTTCCACTGGCCTTAATCGAATTCACAAAGAATAACGATAATTGATTTTCAAGGTTCAGAGGAAAGTTCATCAGAACAATTATCATGAAAATGTTTATAGAAAAGGCAGAGGAAAACTATGTTACAGCGACGGGAAACTGATTGAAGATGAGATGCCAAGTCAAGACCGATAATATTGCAGATTCTTACTTATTTTTCAAGTATCTCTAAATGCATAAAACAAGGACGAGTCTAGGCGTTGCAGCAATATTCAATGCTGGGACAAAATGATGTCTTATAAATATGCAAGACAGAGTCTGGTGAGCCAAATTGTCTAGCATAACAGAGCAAACCAAGATTCCTGAAGTCACACTTAGCAATTGACTCGAAACGTTCTGGGTTTAGACCCGCCATGCCACGCGTTTTAGTGAACCACCCTCTCATCCCCTTGTTGGGATATAAGCTCCGCTTTAACAGTTTCTTCCTCCGGGTCTTTACTTAGTGGAATCGACTCCAAAGGGAACACTATCGCGAACACTACCATCTTAACCTGTTCAAGTCTAGCGTTAACCTTTATCTTCCTCTCATATCCCCATAAACAGTACCTCTTACCTCTTAATTTGTAACCCTCTACCTCGAGCGGCTCTTAGGCCTTGTGCAGGTTGAACATTATTGTGAAGCATAATTTATTTAATTTGGTAAAGTTTTCGAGCAGAGTTCGAATTCCAGTCGAATCCATTACAGACACTTACTAGGGAAAGGTATGAATCCTTCACCCGACCCCCAGGTATGGGTAAATAACAAAATAGACTGGGTTCTATAGCCTTGGATAGCAACTAGTCTACCGTAGAAATAAATGACAACCTACTGCGGGAAAAAATCTGCCTCGTCAGTTATGTATCGAAAGATACATGATCGCCTAAGCATGTATCAAGCATGGCACATAACTGACTGATTGAAAGTCTTTACACTATAAAACTATAGGGTTGCGTGTACTCCTTTGCGTGTTACTCTGGTTGACCAGTTATTCTGAGCAGTGAGTTCGATCCTCATCCGGAGATTCGTACCCCTGGCCTTATGCTAAAACTTGGCAATTCTTAATAAATGACAACATACCCCAATGTGCGCTCTAGATGCTGTTTTGTAGAAAAGGAGAGCTAAATAAAACAACATTCAACGGGGACATTATGGCAGATATTTGCTTGATAGAAAGTTTTGTATAAATGTAGGTGATAAATATTGTCAAACGATTAATGAAAAAAAAAAAACAAAACCCGCGGACACTAAACTTTTTGAGAAATATATGCGTCCGAGGTGTGACAATTTAATTTTCTCAAATGCTGTCGCGTGTCACAAGGGTAATGACTCATGTAAATATTTTCACAAGACTACGTCCGAAAATATTACAACATTCGCTTTCTTATAATACAGAGGAGTCTTTCACTGCCGAGCAGTAGAGGAAGTTGTAGGTGTTCATGCTATAGGTGAAATGGATGTGGAGCCGTTGATTGACAATAGGTTTGTGTGAAGATTGATAAAAGTTAGTAAATAACAATGTAGGGATCATCTTTCGTCGTGTGTAATTATTAACGGGCTACTGGTTGATCATTACGTTTGAGTATTGTGTTTGAACCTCACTCGGTGCCTCATACTTGCGGCCTTGTGTCGAAACTTAAAACAATTTTATTAAATAATAATATAGAGCTTCTCGTAGAGTGTAACTTTTAGCGAATGAGTCTGGTTCAACCTTACTGTTAAATACCGAGTTCTGTCCTCACCGGGTGCGCTTATATAACTTAATTTCAACTTAAATAACAACTGGGCTCTTCAGTGAAGCGTAATGATTAACAACGTAGTCTAGTGAGGAATTGAGTTTGAGCCTAACTGGGAGCCCTATAATTGAATCCTTGTGCCAGACAAAGCTAAGTTTATTTAGGTTCGCTGTGGTACCTAAACTTTATGAATGTAAGCGTGGGCCACACTGGCGACGAGGTCAGAACAATTTACAGTTGACTTGGCTAGAGATAACCATAAGTTATGTGTTAACACTTTATTTTCTCGCACTTCTCGCTTGTGGAACTCTTTTCCGGTCCCATGTTTTCCAGCAAAACATTAATCTTCAAAAATTTGAATGCAATGTCAATCGTTATCTACTGTCTTCTTGATTACTCTTCTATTGTTCTCGCTCCTTAATAATATTTCTCTTTTTTTCTTATTCTTTCACACTCAGTAACACCTTGTGTCTTAGTGGCTTTACTGCCTTGCATGGGGTGAAATGATTAGAAAACAAACTGAAATGCAATGTCAATCGTTATCTACTGTTTTTTTGATAACTCTTTTACTGTTCTCTCCCCTTAATAATGTTTCTCTTTTTTTCTTATTCTTTCACACCCAGTAACCCCTTTTGTCTTAGTCTTAGTGGCTTTATTGCCTTACGTGGGGTGATCTCAATTTAAAAAAGTAGTAATCACCAGTGTAATATTCTGGTAAAGGAAACGTTTAACATTTCAGAAACGAAAAGAAAAACTTGGAATTTTAACAGAGCCAGCTCCATTACCTCCTGATATTCACAAGGAACAAACGCTACTATGCAACAGTCAGCCGGGTCAGTTAAGTGGTGTATATAACAGACGCCAGGGTGATCATGTCTCTTTCGATTCATGAGGGACTTGGCAGTAGGTTACCATTTCTTTCCGCGGTAGACTGGTTGCCGATTAAGGCTATGGAACCCAATATGTTCTGCTATGTTGCCCAGTGCTGGGGGTGGGGGTGGAGAAGAGATTGATTCATTTTATGTATTAGCACGTAAGTGACTGTAATGAACTCGACTGGAATTCGAACTCGGCTCTCTAATTTCTCATCTCAGTCTGTCCTACTATTTATCCATAGCTGGGGGGCAATAAGAGTTGGAGTCTTTCTCGAGGGTATTAGCACGTAAGTGAATGCAATGAAACCGACTGGAATTCGAACTGAACTCTCTGATTGTCTTACTATTTACCTATACCTTGAGGGGAGGAGAAGAGATTGATTCATACCTTTCCCAAGGTTATTAGTACGTAAGTGACTGTAACGAACTCGACTGGAATTCGAACTCTGGTCTCCGATTTCCTATTCCAACCCGTCATCCATTTCCCAATTACGTCTGCGACACAAGTTTTAAAATTCAAATTCTACTCAAAAATTACACGTCATCGCTTTTTTCATGTCGAATATTTTATTTCCTTCTTTAATATTAAAAAGAAAAAAAAATCTTAAAACATTTTCAATTCTGAAGTGGACTTTTATAAGTCACGTAGCTTCGAGAAAGTTTTTCGAGAATTCACGCATTAGACCTTTTTTTACCCAAAATAAGGGCTTGCAAAAAGACTCAGTAAATTTACGTACATTTTGTCTTCAGTATAAGTGCATTGTATGTTATCTTATTAGAAGACGCGTTGTTTTAAGATAGAAAATTAATATAGTCAGGATATGTCAGCGTGGATATACACGTATGCGTTCAAAATAATATCCGCCTTGCGACATAAAGGAGAACTATTTTATTAACGAATAGAGTCACGCCTGTTTTCATATGCATACAAAGAGCTATATATTTACACGTAGATCAATATATATTTACACGGAATTCAACGCAGGTTGTCACATGGATGGACTGGTAGGCATATCAATAAGACAGTAGCTTAATGATAAATGAAGCTGTCTATATTTCTGAGATGAGGTATTATGTACATTATTTGGACTATTGTCCTCATCTTTGTCGCCATATTTATCACAACGTTTCGGCCTTCTTCATGTGTTTGGAATTTCGAAGTGAACTGGGGTAGACTGTTCTAGTTCCACGTGCCATGTTTGATGGACGTCAGTTATCAGTTATCTCCTGCTAATTTCTCTCTGAAAGTTCTCCACTGCCTTAACCGGGTATTGAACTCACACTCTTTGGGTCCTGTCACTGGATCTAACCAACGCCTTTATCCACTGTGCCATGTGTCCTTGAGGAATTTCTGGATATTATAAACCTAATGTCTTCAGCAATCATTTTTTACCACTGCTCATATTGCAATTTTGCTGTTATCGTTTCATGTTTTTACCAGAGCTCATATTGCAACTTTTGTTGTAGGTATTGCTTTTCTCTCTGGCACTCCTTATTACTGGTTCCCATATTGTATTTATTTCTATGCTTGGTCGGCTCAGGAGATTTTTGTGGCCTAGCATATGTCTAGCATATGTAGAACAGTCTACCCCAGTGAGCTAAATAAAGGGTTCAGTTCGAAATTCCAAACATCTGAAGAAAGCCGGAACGTACAACGGCTGAAACGTTGTGATAAATATGGCGACAAAGATGAGGAAAATAGTCCCAATAATTTAAATAATGTAGATAAATGAAGCTTTTACATTTATTACCAACAATATATTTTATAGCAAAATGACCAACAATAGATTTTATAGCAAACTGACCAACAATATATTTTATCTATAATTGCGTTCAAAATATTTTTCATCTACAGTCCTGGGTATGACGATAAACTACATCCGGCAGCAAGTCATCTTTTCGGGAGTTTGGAAGTTTTGAGGAGAGTGGAACTACTACTTAATTCTTGTTCTTCCTAGTTCCACTGTTACCATATTTATAGAAAAAATACCAGCAATACATTTTTATATAACAAAATTACCAACGATATCTATTTACAGTAAAATGACCAACAATAGATTATATCTGGAATTGAAGCGAAACAGTTGCGTTCAAAATATATTTATTTGAAACCATAAAGCCAAAAAATTATGTTCAAAAGATGGTTAGAGTGTAAGATCTCTTTCCCCAAGGTATGGATTAAATAGTAAAACTTTTATTTTATTTTATTCTATTTTTTTTTTTTACAGTAAGGTTCACTTGTAGAATCTTCATGGTCATTCGAAGTAGAGGATTACAATGTAAGAGGCACAGTTTATACGGATGGTGTTAGGGTAGCAAACGATTAATCCTAGACATGTACAGGTTAAGGTTGTAGTGATCGGGGAAACATTCTCTTGGGAGTCGATTCCACAGAGCAGTTCGGCATTAAGCAGCCCATAGGTGTTGAAACGTTGTAATAAATATGGTGACAAAGATGAGGACAATAGTTCGAATAATGTAAATAGTGTAAAAATAATTCAATGTATAATAAATTTTTACAACAATTGTTTTCATTTTTTAAAATTCTAATTACAAAAATTTATTAATTTTTAAATCTTTTAAAATTCTGTATTAATTTCAGGCATTTAGATTATATTATTCTTAACTGAAAAATATATTTGCTAATCGTAAATGAAAAAGCTTAATAGCAGATATTAAAATTTGTGTACTTGCTTAATATTGGTGACTGAAATTTGTAGTTTTTTGTTGTTTTTTTTTAAGTATTTCACTCCAAGCAAGGTGGGAAGCCACTAGCACGCAGGGGGTTTCAGAGAGTTGGAGCGAGATCAAATAGGAGTGATAGAGGAAAGGATGAAGAGAAGGATAGGGGATAGATCAAGGCATCTGGAGACGTCGATTGACATTACATTTGAATAGTTGGAGATTATAGCTTTCAGAAGAACAGGAAGAGGGGAGGGAGTTCCACAGGTGAGAGGTGCGAGATATGAAGCTATTGGAGTAGAAGAGACGGCTATATTTAACAGTTTCGGCAGTGAAAGGGTGAGAGCGAGATGCCAGCCTAGTAGAACGCTTAAATTCATGCAATCTGGGAACTAGCGAAAGCAGCTCCTCCGAGCAGTTACCATGAAAGTATTTGTAAAAAAGACAGAGGGAGGCGTCTTTGAAAGAGTGACTGCAGACGAGATGCCAGATCAGGGCCAATTACATTGCATATCCGTCTCTGGA